AATCCATATCAGTCTATAGTATATAAAAACAAAACAAAACAATACATCATCATGAAATTAAAAAAAAAGTAAAATTCGAACTCGTACTTTTAATTGTTCGGACTATAGTAGAAGCCTAGAAGGGTACGTTTCCATATACTGTTCTTCCCAAGCTATTACAACTTTATTGAATTTTTCTTATCTCAGAGGAGATATTATATGAAAAAAATTGAATTAGGAAATTTCAATCTGAAATTTTGTCCATAGATAAGTCTCATGGATCTCCGAATGTACTGAAGATTTCAACCCGAAAGGATGTGCTGCTCTTGAAATATCGAATGTTGAAAATACTGAACTTTCTTTGTGAGATATGATTTTTTTCGGATATTCAATATTTCAAGAAGGACACATTCTTTTAATCTGAAATTTTCAAAGTATTCTAAAGTCCATGAGACCTATTTATGAGTAAAAATATCAGTTCGATTGGTAAATCATACTTATAAACGTTATATAAATTTCTAGATGTCATCTGCAGCTGCTCAACAATTTCTTTTATTAGCTAAATCAGTTCGTGGTTCAGCTGCTGTTGATTTAGTAACTCGTGTTCTTGAACATCCTGATATATATGGTTTTAATGAATTTCTTCATCTTGAATCACTTGTAAATTCTCTTAAACAAAATCATTCCATTGTTTTATCAACATTAGAATTATTTGCCTATGGAACAATATCAGATTATGAATCCCAACGTTCACGTTTTCTAACATTATCACCATTAGCACGTCGTAAATTACAATTATTAACATTAGCTTCATTGGCTGTACATGCTCGAATATTACCTTATGAACTTTTATTAAAACAACTTCAAATTGAAAGTATACGTGAACTTGAAGATTTAATTATTGATGGAATATATGCACAAGTTATACGTGGAAAATTAGATCAATTAAATAATCGTCTTAATGTTGAATATGCTATTGCACGTGATATTAATACAATAGCATTTAATCGTATAGAAAATATACTTGATAAATGGTGTTTAAATTGTTCTAATTTATTAAATATTTTAAAATATGAAGCAAAAATTGCTAATGAAAAAAAGAAAAAATCTTTAAATGAACAAGATAAATATAAAAAAGAAATGTTATCAATGATTAAAATAATTGATTTACAAGGACAACATTCAGGTGGAAGTTCAAAACGTGATAGTAATGAAAATGATAATAATTTTAATTCATTACAAAATCTTTCAAATATAACAACCGGTAATACAGATTCAAAACAAAGTGGAACAAAAAAATCAACACGAAATGTTGCTAAACGAATTCTTCGACCATAAATATGTATATGTGCGCGTGACTATTGTATTTTATATTCTAGATAATAAAAACAAACTTTATATAGAAAGAAAAAAAAAATTTTCGTCTTTGATAAAACATTGTCATTTTTAAAATCATTATCTTTTAAATATATTATTGATTATCTAATCGTGAGAAATTTTTTCTTATCCATTTAGGGGAAAACTATTCATGTTTCAAACTCAAAATCTTAGAAAACATTGAATCTAAAAATTAAAAAAAAAAAATTTCGATTATTTCTCACAACTTTAAAGGGTTATCATTATCTTAATTTAACAGAATTTGATGCAAAATTTTTGATTTTATCATTCATATCTGTTTTATATCAATTCTTTTAAATATAACAAAACTAATCTTCTATATTCATTTTCATAGATCTAATCAAATTCAAAACAAAAAAAAATCAAAGATCCTCGACGAAATTTTCACAGCTTTTTTTTTTTCTTCAGTCTGATTTTGAAAAAAAAAGAGAATATAAGATTTAATGTAATTAATCATGATTAATAAAGAGTTTATCAAATAAATCAATCGAGATAGAATAAACACTATTCATAGATGAAAAATACAAGCAATATACTTTCATAAGAATTCATAGTGAAACTATAATCGATGATGATGTATATGACATAGAATGAAAATACAACTATCGTAATCTATCTATTAGATGTTAACTTTTGACACATGATATCTAATGATCTTTTTGAACACGTATTCTTCTTATCATATATAAATCATAATGATATAATTATTCGATAATAACTTTTGATGAGTTTTGAACAATGTATGAATTTAACATATATATATATATTTATAAAATAGATGAAACATATGTATAATTAAGTAATTAGCTATTGATAGATGAGTTTTGTATTAATCTTTGATTATAGAAATAAATGATTGATTATAGTAGAAAGTTTTATCAAAAAAAACAAAAAGAAAAGTCGACTCGCATAATGAATTTATTTATTTTCTTTCTTTTGAATATAGATAACAGGTACACTATACCACATATATTGAGGCTGAATAGTAGACAAACATATTAAATAATATGAAAACTATAGAAAAGCAAAAACCAAAGATTTATACTTTTCTAGAATTTTCGTTCTGAAATATTCTTTCTTTTAAATATGAGAATTTTCATTTTATAATATATCAATGTTTCTAGCAACAATGATTTTCACAAGAACAAAACAAAAAAAAAAATACCCAATTTGTTTTCTCTTTTCTTTCTTTGTAACGCTTTATTTTCGCTCGTCGTCTCATGCGTTTTTTCTTATTCTTCCTCTTCTTCGTCGTCTTCGATTCACTTTAATCATATAGTCATCCTGCAAACAAGTGATCACACACTAGAGAAAAATATTCTTAGATATAATTTTTGTTAATTATTCGTTTTTTTTTATTATTATTTACAAATCTTTTTAAATGATAATTAATTTATTCACTTTATAAATAATTTTAATTCTATTTCCATACTTATTAGTAGAGTGTATGAGTACATATTTATTTTTTTCTTTTGTGTTTTTTTAGATAGACGAATATACTTTCTAGATATAGTATTATCTGTGTGCGTATTTCCTTAATTTAGAATGTCTGCATGGGGAAAAAGACAAGGTAATTTTTTCTTTATTTGTTTGTCTTTTAAGCTATATATTATATGTTTTTGTTTTTTTAATTAGCTCGTGTTGATTCAAAGCCGAGTATAGAATCTACAAATACTAATGGTACAAATACTTCAACAGTACCAAAAAAATCTGCTTGGGGTGTGCAACCACCAGCAGCAGCAGCAGCATCAACAACAACAACACCGACACCAACTACTAATGTTCCAAATGAACGTTCATCAAGTGCATTTCCAACACCACGTGAAGCAATGGAAAAACTTTCATTAGATTCTTCAACATCACAATCAAATGTACGTTCTCAAAGTGCACGTCCATTAAATCGACGTTCATATTTACATTCAGCTGTACCTGAATCAGCTGTTTTAACACCAGTTTATCGTCCTGATCAAGGTGGTAAAGCTGGTAAAATAGTTGATGTATATACAAATCATTTTCGTGTAAAAATTAATGATGATATTGTAAATCAATATGATATTGAAATATATATGATTGGACGTGATAAAAAACCACGTTTAGCACGTAAAGATGAACGTTGGGAAACTGTTCAACGTATAGCTAAACGTGAAAAAAATTTTCCAATTATATGGTATGATGAAGGTAAAACAATTTATACAAAAGAATTATTAACTGATTTTACAAAACCATTACAAATAACATTTAATATTAATAATGAAGATAAAACATTTCAATTACATATTATTAATCTGGTACGACAAGAACAAATTCGTAATATTTATGATTTTATTGAAAAAAAAACTTCAATTAGACCAAGAGAATCTATTAGAATTATTGAAACATTATTTAAACAAGGAGCAAGAAATGATCTTATTGCAATTAAAAATCAATTTTATGATAGAAAACAAAAACTTGATGATCTTGGTACGTATTCTTTTTTATAGATACAATTTAACTTTTGTTTTTTTTTTCTCTTTGACTTTAAACTACTAATACAATAATACTGTTGAAAGAAAAATTCAATCGATTGGATATTAGTTCTAATAGCAGCTGTAGATCAAAGACAACGCAAATCTTTAAAAAATTTTGTTTACTAAGAATTATAATGTATTTGTACATAGATCAGTTAGACGAATAGTTCAATATCAGGAATGATCGAACAGTTCATAAGGTTTTATTTAATTAATGAAAGCTTTTGTGATATTTTGTAGTTCACTAAATCTCATATTGTTAGTTATAAAGAAGTATACTTCATTATAAAGTGCGTTTAATGAATTATTCGAAAATCCTATGATTAGAATGAACCATATTCACAATTCGCTTGTTGGTCACGAATACGCGTAAAAAATGGTCACATATTGACTTAATTGTTGCTAAGGACGGCCTCTTTTCTTTCATCTATCTTTCTCAATCGTCTTGCTAGTATAGCTTCTGCTACTCATAAAAAATTTTGTTTAAATATTAAAACATTCTGAATTCTACGAATGGATATTTTTTTTTAAGGTGATGGTCGTGGTATGGCAAGTGGTTTCTATCAAGCACTTTTTCTAACACAATGTGGTCCTACTTTAAATATGAATCTTGCTTTTACTTGTTTTTATATGCCATTAAATTTTATTGAATTTGCAACTAAATATCTTCGTAAAGATATAACAAAAGGTTTAAATGAAGGTGAATTACAAGGTTTTAAACGTATTGTTCGTAATTTATTAAGTATGTTATCATTAAAAAAAAATAAGGAAAAAACAAAATACAAAACTTTCTTTTTTTCAATAATTTTCTTTCGTTTTTTAGTTGAAACACTTCATACAGGTCGTGATATACGTTATCGTATACGTGGATTTGGTTTACCAGCTAATCAAATAATGTTTGTACGTGGTGCTAATGATGATGCTGGTGATGCATCATTAGGTGAAAAAATTAGTGTTGCAGATTTTTTTGCTGAAAAATATCAAAAATTAAAATATCCACATTTACCATGTATTGATGGAATGAGTGGTAGTCAAAAACGAGCTAATTGGTTACCTATGGAAATGGCTAAAGTATGTTTTCTTTTTTTTTTTTTCAAAGCAAAAATTACACGATCTATAAGAATTTTATATATTTCTTTAGCTTGTACCATGGGAACGTTCATTAAAACCATTAGATAGTGTACAAAGAGCATTAGTAACAAAAAAATCTGTTATTAAACCTGAACAACGTTATGCACAAATAATGAACATTGTACATGATCGTCATTTTGATCAAGATTCATATTTAAAAGAATTAGATATTAAAGTTGAAGCACAAGAAATGCTTAAAGTAAAAGCACGAATATTACCACCACCAGAAGTTAAATATCGTGGTCAAGGTAATACTGAAATAACTGAACGTGTTAATTTTGGTAAATGGACAATACGTAATCGTTTTTATACAACACGTGATATTAATAAATGGGGAATGATTTATTTTGGTTCAAAACCAAATGAAAATATTATTCAAACACTTAAAGATTTTGAAACTCGTTTACCACCAGTAAAATTCTTTTTTATTTTTTATTTTCTTTAAAATAATTTTGTTTTTTTCTTCTTTAGTTATTACAACGTTATGGTATAACAATGAAAGCTAAACCAATAACAATAGCTAAACCAGCTAATAAAGATGATATAGAAATAACATTAAATAATGCTAGTAAAGATAAATGGCAATTAGCAATTGTTGTACTTAATAATACATTAGATAATGTTTATGATTATGTTAAACAATGTGGTAATCAACGTTATGGTTTAGTTACACAATGTGTTAGTTTTCAAGCATTAGAACGAAATCTTAGTAAACTTGATATGTGTAAGAATGAATAAAAATGAGATTTAGTTTTTCTTTTCTATTTGATTTGATTTTTTTTTGTTTTAAGATGTACAAAATCTAAGTCAAAAAATTAATGCCAAAATGGGATGTATAAATGGAGTTGTAAATCTTAAAGCTGCTTTAAGTCGACCATCAAATGAAGATCTTTTTATGTTTTTTGGAGCTGATGTAAGTTATTCGTGATATTAAGTATACAGACATAGTTAAATTTTTCTTTTTTTTCATTCCATATATAATGTAAATAATGTACATTATTGAAACGAAAACTATGCAGATGTGAGATGTAAACACATTTTTATGTAATATATTGAAAGTTTGAGTACACTCTTCAATCTGTAATCGATTACTTTTTCTCTATTTTTATTATTTGAAAGTATTTTTGAAAGAATAATTCATTATTTTCAAGTCTTGGCAGATAGTTACAGATGTTAGTAAAGAGTATCGTTGACCAGTACTTTTCCAGATGAGCATGACACCCAAATTCTTTGATGTACACTGCCAGTTATACTAATTAGTGTATAGAGTGTCTCCGATTTGGAAAAGAAACTGTCTATTTTTTTGTAGGTGACACATACAACTTGCTCAGCTGAACGTCCATCAATAGCAGCAGTTGTTGGTTCACGTGATCCAACAAATTCTCTTTATGCAGCTCGTCTTTGTGAACGTATGTTAATTTGTTAAGTTTTAAATTTTAAATAATTTTTTTTTTTACATCAGAATATCCAAAATTAGGTCGTTGTTCAATGGAAATAATAAAAGATTTAGATAAAATGATTGTTGAATTACTTCAATTATTTGCTCGTTCTTGTGGAAATCGTTTACCAAATAAAATTGTTTTTTATCGTGATGGTGTTGATGATGGTCAATATCAAAAAGTACTTGATAATGAAGTTGCCAAAATAAAACAAGCATTTCGAAGTAAAAGAAAAAAAAGAATAAAAATAATCTTTTTTGTTTTGTTTTAAAGCTATTTATGTTAATCGAACACAACCAAAATTAACATTTATAATTGTAAAGAAAAGACATAATACAAGATTTTTTGTTTATGATGGACAAGGTACAAAAAATGTTGAAGCTGGAACAGTTGTTGATCAACAAATAATTCATCCATCACAATTTGATTTTTATTTATGTTCACAAGCAGCACTGTAAAAAACAAAAATTTCATTTGAAAATTTCGCTTTTTTTTAAACGGATTTTCATGTTTTTCTTTAGTATGGGAACATCTCGTCCAGCTCTTTATCATATTCTTCATGATGAAATTGGTTTTACAAGTGATGAAATTCAACAATTAACATATTGGGTATAATTTCTTGTTTCGTTTTTTTTTTCTATGGAATTATCTTATGAAGCACAGTCTAAAAAGAGTGTTGAAGTAGATCGAGTAGAAACTTACGATCACCTTCCGCCCGCCTTACACATTGTGACAGACGATAGCCAGAGACCATCATCACCTGTATATCACTAATGACTCGTCACAATACTTTCTTATTGTATTTCTGAAGTGTTTTGTAAAAGAAAGATGCACGAATGTGTTACAAGATAGACAAAATAAAAGAATCTAATTCCACAAAGATTGTATTAACAGTTTTGTAATAAATTTTTTTACTTTTCTTTTTAGCTTTGCCATACAGATGCTCGTTGTTCAAAAGCAGTGTCAATACCAGCACCAGTTCATTATGCTCATTTAGCTGCATATGCATCACGTACATTTGATTTTGATGATAATCATGATCAAGAATGTGAGGATGATTTTGTTGAAAATGCTGAAAGTGTTTCAATTGATGATATTAAAACAAAATTAATGGTACTTGATCCAAAAATTGAAAATGAAATGTGGTTTGTTTAAAGACAATATTATTTCTTTGATCTTTTTTTTTGTTACGCGCGCGCGTGTGTGTGTTGATTATGATTGTTATATTATGAGCAGAATATATCTATGAAAAAAAAAACAACAAAAGTATTCTTTCTTTGTTTCGCATACACATTGCATGAAAAGTAGTTTATTGTGAATTTGAATTTTTCTTTTTTTTGTGTTACATTCATTAACAACAATATGGGAAAAAAAGTATTTGTAAAACATGTAACTTTTTTTTCTTTTTTGTTTATATTTGTGAATGATTTTGTCATTAAAAAGAATAGAAAAAAAAATAGAAACATAATTCTTTACAAAAATATTAGATTAAAAACTTTCAGATGAATTTAATTGATATGAACTATTATCATCATAATCAATTGAAGTTTTTGATGGTTCTTTTTGCATGGTATATAATATGAAAAAAGTAAAAAGAATAAGAAAAATGATTATTGAAATAGAACCAATTATTGTTGAATATGGAATTTCAGTAATAGTTGTATCTTACAAAAAAGAAAAAAAGACAATATTTTTTTTTTAATGACTTCAAAGAATTATGTAAGTTTAATTCAAAATTTAAGCAAAAATTTTTCTAATATTCAATACAGGGCAAAAGTCCTTACTCTTGAATAAGCAATTTTTCTCGAAGTTTTAAAACGAATTTTTTAAGAGTTCTGTAGAAGATGAGAGGAGTTCGATATATGTAGCTATATAAACCACAAATTGTCGTAAACGTTCGTACTTGGAAAGAAAGTGTCTCGAAAATGAAATCTTGCTTTGCTGAAAGCGAAACGGTAAACTATTTTACAGTACTGGAAGAGCAACAATTGATTTCCTGTCATCTAAAATTTTGATCACAGATATTCTCAAGGCTCAAAATAGATATTGAGTGCGGAAGACAATCAACTTTTTGTCTTGTCTTCAGAAAGTTTAGTATTTCAAGCATAAAATACCTTTTTTGTTTTATTTTAAGTTTGAATGATAACCTCATCCTAATGATCTGAAATCTGCCTATGAACAATATTTCATAGTTTAGTTTTTTACACATATCACAGAATAAAATCACAAATGTAGTTAAATTATTAACGACTGAAAGTACAATATAAAACTTAAAAAATATTTCTTTCGAATCTGAATATCCATATTAAATTACAGTTCTTTAAATCTTTGTCCTGATTGTTTACCTCTATCATCATGCTCAATGTATGATAAATTTCAAATAAATTCTTATGAGCAATCTATCAATGATCCAATGTCTATCGCTGTGATTTACAAAATTTATAGATATAGAGTATCATTTTTATGCTTCAGCTTGATATAAGTAAGAATGTTTATAAAAGCATGATTTTATTAGAATATGGAAATATTTGTGAATTTCGGATTTATTCAAATCTCAATAAGACAAGTTTTGTTTTTATTATTTTCTTAGCAAAACTAATGAAACAATCTTCGTTTGATTTCGATTAAATCCAATCGAAAAAACAAATCTTCAACTATATCTCTCATTGATGGGAATTGAATTAATAAAGAATCTAATAAAATATTTGTACAAACAAATGTATATAATCTTTTGTTTTATAAACTTACTCATTGATATTTTAATATGTGTTAAACTGAATTCAGCTAAATGAAATAGTTTTAGTTTTTTATATAAATAAAATTCTTTTCAAATGATTAACTTATTTCACAAATAAATGGATTTGTTGACAAACACTTTGTGTTAGAATCAATATGACAACGATGATCTCCATGTAACTTCCAAGATATCCAGCGTAAACATATCTTAGATCTGTTATGATCATTCAAAAGCTTGTAATTACTCTTATTGGTTACATTTGTCTTTGATTGTTTGATCAACCATACACAAAACATTTCGACAAAATTTGAAGAAATATACGTCAACCACCTAGTAGCAAGCACTAGACAAAAAAATTTGTATAAACCAGGTATATAAATATTGAAAAGTAAATTCTGTAAACCAACTTGATTTATCATTGTTAAATAGATTCGAATTAGCTATTGCCCATATATTAATTAATGAATTCGCTGATTTAAAATATGATTTAGTGATATTATCAACAAAGTCAAGTACAGATAATGGCCATTTATTAAAATAAACTAGATCAGCTTTATATTTATGACAATGAATACGAGCATCAAACGAAGTTTTATTTTCATTAAAAAATCGAAAACAACGAGTACCTAAATATATTCAATAATAAATAAAAACAAACACTCTAGATCCAAAGTCTTTTTTAAACTTTGTTATCTATTTGATGTATCCTTATATTTTTGAAAGTATTTTTCAAATGTAAACAGAGAAAAAAAAGCTAAGAGTTAGCAACTAGTGATAATGAAAACAATTAGTATCAATATAAATTGACGCATAAGAGCAAATCCCCCAATTGATTAATCATTTTTTTGTCGGAACTATATGCATTACATCGATCCTAATGAGTTGTAGGTATCTTGAAAAAAATTTAAGCCTTTCGCTTATTGCTACAAAGATACTGTATTTTTATGTAGGTGTTGATGAGAATAGATTATTGTGAGAGTTTCAGATCTTTTTGTTGTTTCTATCTTAAGACACAACTATAATGAAAGTTTGTCTTTTATGTCACTCATATATATCGGCGGATTTGATTGTCTTATTTTAGGATAAGAACATATCAAAATATATGAAAATTTCACAACAAATTATTCTTACGAAGATTTGTCTTTGTGTATAATTTCAAGTTGAAATTCGAAAATGAGTTTTTCTGATATTTCTAACGAGGACCACAGTATTGAGGTGAAAAATACTGTAGAAATACAGTATCTACATAGAAATAAGCTGAGAGTTCGAGTTCTTTTCAGGATATTCATAGCTCATTAGAATATACATGACACACATTGTCGACTAAAAAGTGATTAATCAATTGAGAGACTTTCTTTGTTAGCTGAATTTAACAAATCTATAAAAATGATGCGTAACATCAAATTTTTTCGTTCTTTGTTCATCACTAAGCTCATCTGAAATTTGCTCAAAATGATTTCTTTTTGTCTTTTGTATATTAAAATAAGTATAAAACTTGACTCATCTGAAATCTAATGAGAATTGAAGAACAAGAGAACAAAATATTATGATTCAATCATTCATATGTTATGTCATATTTGAAAATCTATAATTTCTTATTCGAAAACTTGACTCTTAAAGTTTTTCTTTTGTATGAAATATACTAATTATATTTTAGATGTTACATAAATCCATTTGAAAGTTCATCAGATGCGTAACATGTTACATTTAGACAACAAAACTTTCAGCTTTATCTCGATAGAACTACATATATAAAAGATGAATAAAATGATTTTTATTTTCGACAAGCAAATTCTCTCAATATTTATTGTATTTGATATAATAAAGAATTGATTATAAGTCAAGTTGATGTGTCATACACATATTGTTTAACTACTAATTGTAGAAAATGTCTATTGTTTATCTATATAAGAGAACTTAATAGAGTTATCTATGTTTTTATATATGTTTATTGATTTTTAATTATTGAAATAAAAAATTCTATGATTGAAGTATATTTATTCTTACCAGAAAAAGAAGTCCAACCTTGAATACATTCAATACATCGTTTTCCAGTCCAAAAATAAACTTGTGTTCTTGTTATTATACATTTACATTTATTTTCTTTACAAATCATATTTGGTAAAGTACATTTTATTTTTTCATTACAATAATCATTAAATAATGATAAGTTTTTTCCATAAACTAAATACTTTAATATATTTATAAATCTATTTGTTAGAGAATATAAAAGAAGAAAAAAATGTTCTTTTCATACTTGATAAAATGTATTTATATTAAAGAAAATGATAAAAAACAATAGAACAGTCATCTAATATAAAAAACAAAATAAACTTGAAAGATTTTTTTTTATTACAAAAAGACAAAAAAAATATTTCTGCGCGTTTTAAGATTTTTTTTTCTCCGATAAATGGTATTGTTCAATAACTCGACAAGTAATATCACCCAAATTTGTTTATAAACATATCATATGGAGCTGGATCATTAAATTTTTTATCACCCCATGCTTCTTTATTACCTTAAAAGAGAAAATATGATAAAATAATAACCATTGTACTTTCATCATAATGATGTTTATCAGAAGAAGTTCCATTACATTTTGCTTGTGACTGATATGTTATTAAACAATCTGATTCAAGTGTACATGTTAATTATGCTTTCATAATAAGACGTGTTATAAATGTATCTGTAACAATTATAAGTCCACCATCAGCTATATAAATATTATCAAAATTAGTATATGATTGATTAAACCAAGTAAATGTATCAGTATGAGTATAACAAGATAGATAACGATCAGGTAATTCTCGAGCAGCAAAACCACGAATATAATTATCAATTACAACTGGATTAAATGAATTAGAATTAAAACGAATAGATGAATCAGCATAGATAATTGTACCATAACGACGTAAAGCATCCTATCGGAAATAAATTTTAAATTTCTGAATCATTTCAATAATTAATGAAGATTTGAGGAAATAAAAATGAATTTTTCGGTTAATGGTAAAAATTTATCTTCGAACTTTTGGATTAAATGAGAGGCGCGAGACAATTTGTAGATTATATTCATTTAAAATCGAAAAAAAGAAACGTTTATTCATCTTTAGGTTGCTGTAGAATTATTTTCTTTGATAATTATCAAGAAAAACTTTGTAAATATTTATTTAACTTTCAATCAGACTCTTGTCATAGATTTTTAAGTTTATACTAAATTAAATTAAAGATGATGTCTATTATTTAACTTAACATCAGCAAATCAAAGTTCAATGATTTGCCTAGATAAGTAACTGTCAAGGAAGTTCAAACAACATATTCATTGTAAAGAATACATCAACAACAAAAATATTAATTTTTTTTTATTACAACTCAATAGATGACTAAAAAACTAATAAGCTTATAAAATAACATATTCACCTGAATAACGATTGATTTAAATGCAAAAAATTGTAATGTACTAATATGTGATGCAAATTTTTCAGTAGATGAAAAGGGAAACTTAATAATTGTATATCGAGCACATTTCGTTCTCAGGTAAACAGAAAAAAAAATTCTGATAAGAAAACAGGCATTGTTTTTCTTTTTCTTGTTTTTACTAATGTTTCTTGTTCATTTAAAATACTCAAATCATAAAAAATAATTCTATCATCAGACCAATATGTATCAAGTATATGAATAGCATCTTGAAGTCCATCAAAATAATCTTGATCACAAGCAAGAACAAAAACTGATTTGCGAACACATTCAAATTCAAACTATTCAATATTTTTTATCACAAATCAGCTGATTCAAAAGATAATCTTTGACACTTCTTTTTCACATTGTTATTCAATTATCTTTTTATATCTACCAACAATTTGCCTAAGCGATTGACAAGATATATTTATTAGTCGTACAGAATAACTAGATTGACTCAGAGCTTTTCCAGTCGACACAATCGTGAATAGCATAAAGATGAATTGTATGAAATTATATTGATTTTCAAGATTGTTTTATTCGAATTCAGTTATTCTACATTTAAAGATAATTATAATAAATGAAATAATTAAATCGAGATTTGATTGCTATAATTGTGCTTAAGGGCAATACTAACGGTTTTTTAGTAACAGCAAGTAACAAAAAAAGTCTCCCATTATTTGGATTAATTTATATAATGATAATGAGCAAAGCCTGAACTAATATAAGAAGCATATTAAAATAACAATCGATATAGTTATAGTTTATCAAACTAAATAACAAAAACAATATATTATTTTTATTATATAGTTAAAATTGTCTACTGATTACTTGAAATAGTTCTGTTTGTATTACATATGTATAATTGCTGGTGTCTTTTGTTTAATCATTTAAATAAAACTGAACAACTATTGATCATAAATGAGCAGACCTAAATAGACTTTCGTTAATACTATTGAAAGTATAAACAACGCATTGATAATCATGTCGTTAGTAGCTTTTAAAATTGTTTCATCCGAAATCCATTCTTTTTAACTTTGTGAATTATGACCGAACTAGAAAGGGATCGAAATAAGAATCAATTAGAATGGATCCAAGACCAAAATAGGATGAAATCGAATGAGACTAAATCGAAGAGTGTCCGTAGTGTGATATTTCTGTTCATCAATTATTATAAAAGGCTCACATTATGAATAAAATCTTACATTACTATAATATATTCAAAAAAATAATTTCAGAAAAACTACGCAAAAAATATTGGTGAAACCACCCACAAGATTCTTAAATGAATATCTTTATCAGAAATTATTCTAAGAAGTAATATATTATGCGACTGATTAGATTTTCATTCAATTGAGTAGTAATTATCATTTTGATATGTTTTCTTTGCACGTCGGATGTATGCAAATCATGTTTTTATTAACTTGAATATGTATAATTTAGATATATAGAAAACTTCTACTTATTTTTCATTATTTTATTTTTTGAAAACGATGTTGTGTACGAACATTAGTTCTTATCTAAATGAAAATCGATGTTTATTGGGTTATTGTAGTTGTCCTAAGGAATATTATTTTAATAAAGATAATGATATTCATTATAATGCAATAACTCTTCCAATGATTGGAGCAATTCTTTATGATCTTCGATCTTTACGTTATGTTTATTGTTTTATTTTAATTTTATTAGCTTTAATTGGTATAATAAATAATATATTTTCTTTAATGACATTTATTCGAAAACGTATTCGTCACACAATTTGTGGTATTTATTTAATTAATTATTCAATATGTAGTTTAGTATTAATGATATTAATTTTAACAAATATAATAACTGCTATTTACTATGATAAATATTTATTTCGTTTATGGTCTTGTTATGGTTATCCATATATATCTCTTATTATGGTTTATACAAGTATATTAATAAGTAGTGTAATTGCAATAGAAGGTGTATTTTATACATGTTTTAATTTTGATCAATTTAGTCGACTTAAACGACCTTTAATTATTTCATTTCTTTCTCTTCTTATTGTCTCGATATCAAATCTTGATAAAATATTTGGACGAAGTTTATTAATTGATCAATCTGGTAATTTTTATTGTACATATAAAAAATATTCATTTAAATATTGGTCAATAATTTTATATTATATTTATATAATTATTCCATGTTTAATTCATATGATATGTATTATATGTGTTCTTTTATTATTAATAAAAGAAAATTGTTTTCGAAAAATAATTATTCATCAAACTAATTTTATTCCATCATTATTTATTATTTTTTGTGTGATTTCAAATTGTTTATATCTCAATTTATTTAATTTTTGTTTAACATATCCATCAAATAATATAAATCGTTTACATATTATATTTATTTTTCTTCTTTATACTCCACAAATATTTACATACATAATTTATGTTATACCGAATGATTTTTATATTAAAGAAGTTTTTCAAATATGGTTTTATAGAAAACTATGTTGTTGTTTTAATAATAAAAAACGGTTTGTGCAAGAAATTGAAGTCGTACAAACATTATGGAGAAGACCAACATCATGTAGACCTTTTAGACCAGTATCAAGTATTGATGACATGTGTATCATCACGGAAATTCCTAAAACGAATTAAAATAAAGTTTTAACTTGTTATTCTATTTTGAAGTTAAAATTAAATTCAGTTTAATAAAACAAAAGTCTACGAAATATCATTAATAATATTTAGATACTGCAAAAAAACAAACACACTAATAGATGGACGGTATTAGAGTAGAAAATTCTCTTGATATTGTTGAAAAGAAAAGTAAAAACATTCACATATGTTTTGAAAAAATTTGAGATTGATACAAAAGTATGAAGAGTTCTTTTATTGTTTAGTCTATCGATCACGTGTTTTATAAACAAATAGAATAGTATTAACTGGTTAGAAAGACATGATTCCATTGACATAAAAGTTGCTTTCGACTGAAGATATGTTTCAAAATCAAGAGAATGTTGTGGCTGAAATTTTGATTTTTTTTAAATGATGGAATCGCTAATTGTGAGTTGTACTTATATTCGAGTTGATACCAAAAATAATTTTGATTTCTAGATTATATGAATCATTAATAAGCCTTTATAATAACATGGAGATAGGTTTTTTTTTATCAACATACTCATTTACTAACTTGTCCTCAAACAACATTAGTGCTTTTATTGATTTTGTGGATGTGAATGTAGACGCTGCTTCTCTCTTCAACCACGCCCACATAGTTATTTTTAATACAAAATTCTAGATTTTATAGAATTTCATAGATCATTTTGTTGTTTACATTTTGAATTATCTGTTCTATTATTTCATAAAAATTGTCGAGTTTCTAGACAAATACAAGATTAAAAAACAGATAGCACATTCAAACAAGTAGAAATTGTCACTAGATTTTTCCAGATTTCTTCCAATTGAACCAATAAGAAATCAGTCATATATAATTAAAAACTTAAGGCCCCCCCCCCCACTCAAAAAAAGTCAATTTTCGTCAAAAATTTTGAAATTGAGATAAATGCATGGGAAGATAGCCCGTCTTCAGATATTCCAAAAACGACATTGATTTTTCTTTGGCATCTCTTTTTTGGCCAAGATTTTCATTGACCTCTTCTTGAAAAATATGCTTATTTTTAAAAAAACGAAAATTGTTTTTCGTTTTTGCTCGATTTATGATTTTTTGATTTTGGGACAAGGAATTCTCAGTCCCGGCTCGGGCAATATACTTAAATTTTTTTTTGTTTGAAAGAGCGCGTCGAGATGCAGGTCACCACAGAGTCTTTTTTCTAATTAAGCTTTGTTTTTTATTATATATACAGACACTTATGTGACTGGGCACCCATTTTTGGCGCGTTTTTTGAGTCATTGGACTTGTGATCTCCTTTCTCCGCTAAAAAAGTAAGAATCTTAAAGAAAGAACTCTGTCGTTCTCTGCATCCTGACATGCTCTTTCTAACAAAAAAAATTAAAATATGTCAACACAGTCTGGACCGAGAAATTCTTGTACCAAAATGAGCAATTTTTGACCCTTGCTTGGTTCATATCTCTGTCAAACATCAGGGTATTGAGCTGAAAATTTTACTACAGCCTCTCCACATCAGCCCCAACATATGCTCCAAATTTCAGCTCATTTGAACGTACTTGGACTGAGATCGATTTTCGAGTGGGGGGAGAGGCCTTAAACATCAATTCTTTTCTGCATCTATTACAAAGAAAAGTAAAATCACCTTATATTTATCGATGAATAACCACTTGAAATTTTTTCTAACTTATAGTATACAGCAATTGCTTCAGATTCGATAATCACCGCTTCCAAACATATCATAAAAAAAACTTCGAATTGATCTGAAGCGACTAATTTAATACTAAACAGTACAGATAAGAGATAGATTCTGCAGTATCACACTATTATAGGGTGATTGATCAATCTATCGCCTGGCTTATAGAAAAAAAAGAAGTTGTAAAAATTTATACTATAGAATCCAAAAAAATAAATCCTAAATAAAAATTTATCAACCATAATCTTAATCAAATATTAAATCTAAAAGTACATTTCATACATTATTTGGTCATGTTTCTCACTGAGTACATTCTTCTTCATTTATCTCATATGATAAAATATTTACTTAGCATAAGAACAAATCGAAGTATACTCAACTACGAATAAAAATATAATGCATTATCGTAGTAAAAAATAGCGATAAAATTCGCGATTTTTAGTATAAAAATTTTCTAAAAAATACGAAATTAATTAGCAATATTTTGATGCTTGATTTTCTTGTTCGGATAAAATGATAATGAAAAGAATAAAAGACAAAAGTGACTTTGCATTATATAATTTTTATTTTGAAGCAGTATTTCCTAGTAGCAGAAAAAAATGAGATCATTTTAAAAATTGGTCACCTAATAATATGAGAAATGTTCTTTTCGATCACACGGGACGAAAAAATATATCCCAAGAGCAGAAAAAAAAATGAAAAGTTTTGTTTTTTTTTTATTATTTTTGTCTGGTTAAACTTTTACGTTTGTTGACATTGCTACTTCATCATTTGTTTTTTTCTCTGGTTTAGTATCATTGTTCACAGCTTGAAATGTCGCCCATTTTCTTGGTACAGCCGAACCATAAAAAATATAAACAAGACCACCAAATAAATAAATAATACCAAATATAATATATAATTTTCTCCATTGTTCTAAAACTGGTTTTTTAATAATTAATCCTGCAACTAAATTTCCAATTAAACCAGCCAATGATGCAAATGTATTAGCGAGACCAAATATAACACCGGAATAAGCTGGAGCAATATCCGCAAAATTGACTACATAACCACTACCATAACCGAGACCTAAAGAAAAACGTATACACTCAAATTAATACAAAATATATGTGAAATTTTACCAGTCGCAGCAAGAAACAAGAGAACGGCAAGAATACCTACTCTATATGTTGTATGATCAGAAAAATAAAGTAACATCATACAGAAAACAGGTATAAATGATGTTAAAGCATTAGACATTTTTCTTGCAGTTGTTAATGTTACAACATCTGATCGAACAAAATGATCAGTTGCAATACCTAAAAAAAAAATTTTTTTTTTTTGAAAAGAAAAACTCTCATTTTTATTTCTATTACCTGATAATATACTACTTGATAATGTTAACAAAAATCCAAAAGATAATATATAACCAGTATTCCCTGGTGAAATACGTAAAAGTTCAGTGAACATTTTACTAAAATTTGTTAAAAAGAAAAATAAGCCAAACAAATTCGCACTCTGTGTTATGATTAAGGCAATTATTGGTTTTGATTTTATAATTTTTTTCCATGGCATTGATGCTAATGACATTGTACGTTTGTGACCAGTACTACCGGTTAAACTAGTTATATATTCTCGTTCACGATCACTAATTTTTTTATGATGATATGGTGTATGTGCTGTTAACGCAGTCCATAATGCCAACCATATAAAACCAAGAAAACTCGTAATAGAAAATAGATACACCCATCCTGCAGAAAAATGCTGACAAAGTATTCCACCGATAAGCATTGTTAAAGATGTTCCAAGATGTGTACCAGAAAATCCAATTGATGCAAGTGTACTTCGTTCTTGTGGAACAGCCCATACTGACCAAAGAGAGATTGTTGCTGGAAAAAGTACACCATGTGCAAGACCAGTAATAAATCGAAGTATTAATATCAAAAAAAAATGTGTATTGGGCATCATATACATCAATGTTAATGCTAAAGTAGCAAATGAACTGGTTCCTAAAGAAGCTGCATAAACCCATTTTGCACCTATAGTGGTTGCTAACCATCCACCTTATCATAAAATTTAGCATATTAATTATTATGTAAAAAACAACCTTTCTATCTACCTGGTATTTGTGTGAATATATAACCAGCCCAATATCCACCTAGAAGAAGTTGTTGTTGTAATTCGGTCCAATGGAATGTTTTATCATTGAAAAAACCCTTTTTTTTAGCAATACGAGGCGACTTTTTTATTTTTGTTGTTATCGTTGTTGATGATGATGATGATGAATTAAGATAATATATCGACATATTATTTGGTAATTCTGTTGTTACATCCAATAATGTATTATGATGAATTGGTTTTGTACGATTAAGCATACATACAATACCAATTGGTAGATTTATGCGTTGAGAATATTGAATAATAAAAGCAAAAAAGACTAATAATGCTAATGTGAAACGTGTTGATGGAATTAAAGGTGGTGGACCTTGACTATTAGCAGGAACTACTGAAGTTTCAGCAACCATCTTTAGATAATAGGCTAAAACGAAAAAAAAAGAAAACTTAATTGTATGCGTAACTTTATCTTGTTAGAGATATGTACGCGTCCATTTTGTTCTTATTATAAACATAGAAGCAGTAACATATACTTAGAGAAATTCAAAAGTAGCGACGGAGATATTTTAATTTTTTATAAAAAACTTAAAGAAATTTTCTCTCTATATAGTCTGCTAGTGAAACTAATGATCTATTTTTCTATAGTATTTGATCATTTTTTAGCTAATATCATAATAATAAAAATTCAATAAGATCTGTTTGATTACGACTTGTGATTGTTAAATTAGGGCATAGTGTCTTTGATACGTATCCTCTTCTCTCTTTTCTTCATTCTTTTTTCTCGTCTCCTTGAATGTGTAGCTGTCTAGATATATATATATATTAAAGTATACAAAAAGTAATGGTGGTGGACCAAAAATGAAATACAAAAACGAGTAACTTGTGCTTCGTTCTCAACCTCTTATTGACCTTCACGAAATCATCTAGACCATCTTTTAACTATCCTAGCAGAAGAAGCTTCATCACTATCAATAGAATGTAATTCATTATGAATAACTCTAGCTTGAATATGAAGTGCAATGTACACTTTAATGTGAAGGCAAAAATATTCCTTATTCATCTAAAACAGAGATGAACAGTGTTAATGTTTACATTAACTTTATTTTTTTAACTTTCTCACGAACATACTAATAAACTATAGATTCAAGCAAAACAGACAAGTCATGTGTCTTTATATATATACATAGAACGTTAGACATTAAAAAAGGGACGAAAAAAAAAAAAATAAAGAAAGGAGAGAAGAAGAATAAAGAGAAAATCAAGAAGAGAATACATGTCAATGACAATATGAACAAAATTAATCGGCACACATCATAACCAAATAGGTCTTATTGAAGTTTTATCACTATGATATTAGTTGAAGAAAGATCAAATATCATAGAAGAATAGAACTTTTTTACAATCAAACAATATAGAAAGAAACTTTCTTTAAACTTTATATAAAGAATTAATATACCTCCGCTCCTACTTCTGCATTGCCCTAAGTAATTTTTATTCTTTTCTTTTTATCCTACTCTATTGTATTGGTCGCAAAGATTGAAATTGAAAAAGGAAATATTTTCTTTTCTTCCAGCCTCATATCTCACACAAAAGTGACGCCTGTTCGTATTTTTCGCCACAACTGCCTCATATAGGACCGTTTATAATTAAATAAGATACGAAAAAGGAGCTGTATGTCGTCTTAATCACGATCACTGTAATACACTACAATATATAACACAATGTTTGTGTCGTATGCAGTCATATGTATGCCCTAGTCAGATTAAACACGGTTGTAAAACGTTCGTCTGATTTACTGTAAAATAGAATGTGCAAAAAGGTCATATAGACACCGTATTATTCGACTGAGAATATTGACTACCACACAACCTGTCTTTCTACATTTATTCGTTACATTCTTGTCTTGTTCGAATGCGCAAGAAATGATACAATTGCTCTTGACGATGATTCAAAAGCTATGCATCGATTACATGTCAGTTACCATGAAGCATGACTAGTGATGGAGTGAAACGTCTATGAATATATCGAAGTAGTACATTTTATTATACTGTAAAAAGAAAAGAAAGAAAAAATCATCAAGTTACTGATGTTATTCTTTTTTGTGCTTTCGAATATGACGTATATGTTCTTTTGTTCAATCGTGAAGCCTTTTAATCTTTCTGCTGGTATGAAGTTATAATATGATATTACATTATAGTTATATATTACAGGACGATAATCAAGTGACAATAAAAGAAGCATGTATTTGTGACGTCCAACGCCGAAATGATGTAGTAACTACTTATAACGTAATAAATATAACTTTTCGTTTTTTGGGGTTTAATATTTTGATATATGAGCTTCAACATAATACAAGAATGTTATGATAGTGTTGTAAACTTTAAATTTCGATACTACTCAACTTCGATTTTTGTCTTGCAAAGTAAAAAAAATAAATAACCTGCTCTATTCTATGATAGTAAGTCGATCACATTAATATCTCCTTTCTCAATAATATTAAGATGAATTGTTAAGACTAAGCATAGTTTGGCGTGCAGATATTTCAATGATATGGAAGATAACGCATTGAACGTCAAATGTGTCTTATGTTTGGCTGGTGTTCTTTGTAAACCATTATCTACTTCTAACTTATTACATCACATACAAACGCAACATCATTTTGAGTACTAGGATTTAAATAAAGTTATGAAACCACAAATACAAAAGACTAATCCAACAGCTCCTATTAATAATCGAAAGTTCTCCTTTACAAGCAATTCTTAAAGAAGCTAAATCAATATATGTTATTTCTAAACGAAAGTATTTTACCAGTTATGCTTCCTAGGAAATATATAATGAAGTTTAACGACGAATTTATGAAGAATTGCAACTACCACCTAGTAACACTTTCTATATTCTGGGGGACATACAGATTGTCGTTTTCCAATCTTTGAGGTATCCGTTTAACAACAGATATTTGGACTTATCCAGCCAATCCGACTTATATGAGAGTTGCAACACATTTTACAGATTTGAAGAACAAAAAAAATAAAAAAGCTTTATATTACAAACAAAAGAATTCACAGAAGATCATTCAGTCGAATGTATTGGAGCACGATTAGAAAAATTTTGTAGCAAATGGTTAATTGCTCCAAAAACTCATGTATTTAGTGTCTAATATGTCTCCTGCTATGAGAAAACCGTACAATGGTATGTTTGATTTCAATCTGAATTTAAGAGACAAAAAAAGACACTCAATTGCAAACTGAAATAACAGGGCTTGTAGAACTATAGGATTAACATAATAACATATCCCCTATATACATTCTATTTTTATAGACTGCTGAACTATACACTTTATATCGTGTTAGTTCTATAGACTCACAAGACCGAGTCAATAGTTTTTCTTATTTCAAACTAAATTTTGAAAAAAACAATCAACTTCACTTTCTCCGAACAGTATGATACTAGGGCATCTAAACAAAGCACTGCCTTGAATGGCATGTAATAGCGAAAGCGCATCTTAGTATACTTAAAAGAAGCATTTAAACTGAAAATAAACTATACTGGATTGACACCATTAGTTTGTAGATGTGAGTGTGAGTCTAAGACGCCTTCCATAGACTTTCAAATTGTAAACTACTATGTACCTTACGATTGCTCTTTCTCACAGGAGAGATGAAACTAAGGAACTAAGAGGACTCAACAATCATTTACCATTAGAATTCACTACTCTACACACTATGATCCTTTTTGAGAGTGTAGATGTAGGTATGTATGGGAATGAAAAGAAGATTAACGTCTACATCTACGCTCCGTATAGAATATTGAATTCTAGTAAAAAATAATTGTTAAGTTTTCCTAATTCTATCCCTCAATAGAAGAGGAAGATCAAAGTATACAGGATAATGAATTCTCGTTATGAATAATTTCTGTATTTCACTAGTTCCTATTTCAGTTTGAAATTGAATGCGTTTTTTTTTGTTTCTGAATTCAGATTTAAATCAAATAGACCATAATTGTATGAATGAAACAGCACATGCTATATGGTTCAAAGATTCATTCGAGAAAAAACTTTGTGTAACAGTGTGTTTAAATAAAAAGCTCTTTCAAAAATGCATTTCTAATGTTAAACTTTCGAAAGTGATAGACTGGGATGTTGTAGTACTATTGATAGTAAGATGCCATCGAAATATAAGCTACATAGTTTCTTTTTAATCTTAGGTTATGTCGGAACCTTTTGAAGCGGCTACATGAAAACGAATATTTGATTCTTCACTAATAATATCAATTGTCTTACCTATTCTTACAACTTTAATTATAAGCCTTGTTGATCAAACTATTGATTCTCATTTTCTAGAAAAAAACAGAGACACATAATGTAATAGTAGTGAGAAGCATTTTAAACAGATCTATGAAAAAAATAATATAGTACGTAGAAAATAAAAAAACAAGATATTGTATGGGAGACTTCCTTCAGGTATTATTTGTAATGAATACAACATCTCAATCCTCACTCCTCTTTCTCTTTATTAATCTTTTTCTTCATAAACGTTGTTATCGCTGTGTTCATGCTTGACCGCTCTCTGTATGTGTGACTGTTCTTTTCTGTTCTGACCGATACACTTGATCGATTTTTTTCTTTCTCTTTCTGTCTCTCGCCATCACTAATATAGATATAACAAAAAAATAAGCATTTTTTTCATTGCTAAAATTCTTAAATACAGAATGGTCATCGAAAAATCAGTGTTTTGATCACGAAGTTTATTAAAAATGAAGACAAAAATAACGAATAGAAAAAGTTTAACCACAATACTACATGAGAAAAATAACACTTACGGAAAATATTTTGAGGATGAATGTGAGCGATCTTAAGGGTGTAGATGTGGTGTGCGAGGTTGAGGGCATGAAGTTTTTGGTGAATGTGACAATAGTCTCCTCATTCTCACCGATTCAAGAAGAAAAAAAATGAGTCCTGGTGAATCTTCGAATTCTGATAGCTCCCTCGTGAATTGTAAAATACGTTTGTTGAAGTGTGCCAAAATTTAGGAGGAAAGGGCGGATCCAAAAGATCGAAATGTAGGTGGGCCTTGGCGAATTTAGGCATATCCTGATGGATTGTGTACTCTTTTGGGATCCACCAGAATCTGCTTTTTCAATATTAGTTTCAGATTATTGTAAAACCCGAGAGTTTCTGCTGAATTTTGGTGCACTTAAATAGATTTTAGTAGATTCTGTTGAATTTTAGTAAACTCCGCTAAGTTCCAATGACATTTTGGCACAGTTTGATAAATCTATTGT